CTGGGATCACCCCGGGTCTGGGATCACCCCGGGGCTGGGATCACCCAGGGCAGAATCAGCTCTGCCAGCCAGCCCAGGACCGTGTGTCAGAGGGGTGGGGCGGGGGCAGCTAGGTGACAGGCCTGACAAGCCAGTGTTGGGAGGAGCTGCCCCAGCTCAAGCTCACACACTCCGCCAGCGTGTCCTGGTCCCCCGACACCGCGTGGCCCCGCTACCTTGTGGAAGTCCTCCTTCTCCTGCCGCGCCACGCGGTACTGCTTCTCCAGCCCCTTCAGCCGCTGCACGGCATCTTCGTGCTCTTGACGAAGCACCGTGGCATCCTGCTGCCGCTCCAGCCGGCTGGAATCTGGACAGGAGACAACAAATCATGCACCTTTAAATGCAGGCACCCAACGTTTTCTGGCAGTGAACTATGAAGTATCCTTCACAAGCGTCTCATACACACACACACCACCCGCCCCAGCAGGTGACTGGGTGTCTCCCTCCGCTGGCATGCCGAGCACCGTCCCTCCCAGACCCTGGCCTCGGCTGCACGCCCTCTTCATCGAGGCAACGAGGCTGGACCAAATGAGCCCCTCAAACTGAGGCCTCTTCTGGATGACATGCAAGAGGTCAAACAGGAAAGAGACGAGGACAGACTCAGGGGTGATGTGGAGAGCTGAGGTGCAGCCGGCTGGTCGGGTTAGGGCTGAGGGTGAAAACGGTCAGCGTCTTTTGGAAGCTTTGATCACCACTAAGAAGCTGTGCAGCAATCCCAAAGTCATGCAGTTCCAATCCCCCAGCCGCTCTGCAGGAGATGGGCCATCGCCTCCTGTGACATTCACTGACCCTGAACACTGGAGGGTCAGCGGTGAGCTGGTTCGGACTCAGCGGCACACAACCACCAGCACCACCATAGAGGAAAGATGACTACAACAGAAGCCACACCTAACATGCTGAAAGACGCAGGTCAGGGGCAGATGGAGGAGGTACTGATGACGTTATGATAAAAGCCCATCAGATGCAAACTGGGTGGAGGCGTTATGTTGACAAAACAGCAGAGCTCTCCAGAGGCTGGCTGAAGCTCCCTTCTGTTGGATGGAAAGGCCTGAGAACCGACCTGCATGTGGCCAGTGGACTCTGACCTACTCACCTGCTAGTCTGGTCTTCAGGCGTTCGATTTCTTCGTTCAGCTTTTTGATCTCTTTGTCTCGGTTGGAGCTTCCCAGGGCTCTCGTGGAACTGTGAAGTGACTGCACTGTCTGTGTGGACTCTGGGGTGAGGAGACACCAACGTGAGCCCGGGCGTAGGTTGGGGTGGCACCAGCACACCCAGGGGCCCGGCCTGCCCACCTTGCAGCTTCCGGCTCAGCTCCAGCTTCTCCTGCTCCAGCCTCCGGATCCTCCTCTCATAGGCCTCCATCTGCAGGCTGTTCTCCAGGCCGCGCTGCACATCCTCATCTTTGGTCAGCGTGCTGGACTGCATCATGCTCTTCAGGGAGCCGCGGTCTGAGAAGGAGCTGCAGGACAGGCAAGGGGTTAGTGACACCTCTGCCAGCTGGCGGCGGTCACACCAGCACTGCACACCTCCCACCTGGCCAAAGCCAGCCTCTGAGAACGCCACAAAAGCCCACGTGCAAAGGTGGCTTTGCTTATCAGAATTAGACAAGCGTTCCTTACTGCAAACCACAGCAGGGGCCTGAGCGAGAGGCTCCGCAGGGCTGGTCCAGGGCAGGCACCTCTGGAGAGGAGAGGAGCTGAGCCCTCAACTGTCCCTGCGCTCCGCTAGGACAATAGGGACGCTCTGAACTGTCACTGCACACTGCTGGGCAGGCAGGGAACGCTCTGAACTGTCCCTGCGCTCCGCTGGGCCGGCCGGGACACAGAGGCATGGAGGAGCGCAGGCTGGGCTCCGGGCCGGGTGACCCGAGCCAGCTCCTCTGCATGTATAGGACACCCTTCTTCATCTGCCTCTACAGGACGCAGCCTGGCCCACGGCACCAGCACTGCCAAGCACAGAGGAGCGACTGACGAGCGGCTGACCGACAAACGCACGCTGGGCCCACAAGGCAGTCATCTGCTCAGCAGCTGAATTTTCAAACTGTTAGTTCTGCTTAGCTGTTTATGCCACAGTGACTTCAGGAAAGTCACTCCTCGTGCACCACCAAAGGTAAGGAGCATGTGTGTACACATCTTCTCTTTACCTCTTTTGTTGTTGTTGTGTACCAAACTGAGTCAGATCCGACCGACAAAGGAGGAGACTGCCCCTCCTTCTCCAGCAGAGCATCTGGTGGATTTGAACAGCACGCCTTCAGGACTGCAGCACAGCTTCTTGCCACTAGGCCACCAGAGCTCCCTTGAATTTATCTTTAAATGACTAAGCCAGGTCCAGGCTGGGCGCTGTCCCTCTAACGCTTTGTGGGGCTGTCAGGGGAGGGGGCCCAGGGATGTCTAATGAGTGGCCCCATGTAAAAGAGCACCGGGGGGTGAAGGGCCTGTGTGTTGGGGACAGGAGGTCCATATGCCCACTGAACCTAAGAAGCTTTCCTGTGGGCTGAACAGGACCGGCCATCACTCGGGCTTAAGTGCTGTATGTCCACCCCAGGAAGCACTACCTGGGGTGAAGGCTGACAGACAAAACGCCCAGCGTGAGGCTAAGGCAGTGACGACAGCCTGAACCCCCTTGGAGTCAGTGAGTGAAAAGACCCTGTAGGTGGTCAGTGTGAGTGTGGAACCCTTAGCAGACGTCAATGTGATCTTCATCTGAAGCAAAGCTGGGAAACGAAGCTCTTCCTTGTTCATCCTGTACCTTGATGACGACAGCACAAGGAACTTTAACCCAGGAGTAAAACTCTGTAACAGAACTCTGCTGACAGTGCCCTGTGTGAAGACGCTGGAACGCAGTTTACAAAATGTGCCTTTTTTAAGTTGTATTTCAAGTCTGTGTCATTAAGTGAGTTGCTTCTGCCTTCCTTCTTTTTATGAGGTTCCCAATGTTTCTTCCAGAAACGATTTTATTTATGCGGGTCAGGTGACTCTTAGGCCACAAACCATTTGAGGGTAACAGATAATCAAAGATGCATATGTTAACTGATATTCTGTGAGATGTTACACCTGCACAAATTGAATAGTTTTGTCTTTACATGTTTCTGTCTTCAGCATACAGCATGGTTTTATTTAACATTATTGTTAATATTTTCTTCTTATAGAAGATACTATGTCCCATTTCACTGAAGAAGACATTCAGATGGCCAACAAGCACATGAAGAAATGTTCAAATTCCTAGCTCTAAGAGAGATGCAAATTAAAACAACTATGAGATATCATCTCACCCCAGTCAGAATAGCAAAATTTAACAGAACAGCAAGCAACAAATGCTGGCAAGGTTGTGGAAAAACTGGAACTCTTATTTACTGTTGGTGGGAGTGCAACCACTGTGGAAGGCGGTATGGCACTTTCTCAAAAAGTTGCAAATAGAGATACCATTTGACCCAGCAATTCCACTAATGGGAATATACCCTGAAGAGACCATAACTGACATCCAAGCAGGTACATGCACACCCATGTTTATCGTGGCTTTGTTCATAATAGCAAGGAGTGGGAAACAACCTAAGTGCCCATCAACAAACGAATGGATAGAGGAGCTGTGGTATATTCACACAATGGAATACTATGTTGCACTGAAAAACAAGGAACTCATGCAATATTATTCAAAATGGGTGACCCTGGAGGACATTATGCTGAGTGAAGTATCTCAGTCATAAAAGAACAAATACTGCATGGTGCCACTGTTGTAAAACAGGACTGACCTTGGGGTTGGGGAGAGACTGAGAAAGATGGGCTCCATAATGTATACTGCATTGAAACAGATGAGGGAGAAAACTGTTTCAAACGGATATGTGATTAGGTATTTTTGTCATGACAGGAGTCCAGAGCGAAGGCTGTATAGTGGAGTGGACCTGGGGGAAGGTTTGTAAAACAATGAAAGAATTTCCCTTTTACTTTTCCAAGAGGGTAGTGTACTAGGGGGGAGGGTTGGGAGAGAAGAAAAGTACAACAATGAATGAATGGAAATCCAAAGTCTCTAAATTTTTACCGAAATTAATAATAAATTTAAGTAAAATTTTTTTAAAAGAAGATACTATGTCCTTTTGCATGGCATGTTTTAATTAATATAACCTGATAACTTTGGGGGGAGAAAACCCTCTACAAAAATGCCCACCAAGGGCTGCTCCCCTGCTCCACCAATGGGGTCTGGAGGGAGGCAAAGGCTCTGACATAGACAAGCCCAGTGCTCCAAGGGGAGAGGGCTCTGGCCTGGGTGACAGGGAACAGGGACTGAGGTCTGTGACTGTTGACTTTCTACCAAATCATAGTGACCCTGACCGCTTGGAAATCAGAGCAGACAAACCACCGCCCAGGCCTGGAGAAGAGCAGTCTGCGAGCTAACAATGGCTGCAAGGTTCAATTTTCATACAGGAAGAAACAAAAGTATTAGTAGTAACACTAGACAGAACATAAGTGGCCACAAAGCCCACAGATGATGTCCGCTGACCCCTGACAGAAAAACTCCCACGCACTGTGGCAGCAGTGTGACTCACTACGATCACATCACCAGAGCTGCGGTGATGGGAACAGCTAAGGGACAATACCAGGACCCACGAAACCCCTCAACAATGCACTTGACCTCCCGTTCCCCACGCGTGTCCACCCACAGGAGGGAGGGACCTGGACTTACCTTTCCGTGGTGAACGTAAAACCAATGAAAGGCAAATGTAATCCGGAAAAGCCCGTGTGCGACCCAGGAGGTAATATTTCCTGCACAAGAAAACACACAAGGTAAATGGAAAGGTGTTACAAGAGAGGGCGGGGGCGGGCTGGAGAGCTGCGTGGCTTTCCAGGATGTGGCTTCTGGGGGGTCACCTGCTCACGACCACATTAGTCGTGGCAGACTTCGCCCCTTGCTCCCGGCTCGCTCACTGAATGAAATGCAGTTAGGAGGTGAGTGTGTTGGTTCTGATGACAACAGGGGCGTTGAAGCCAAACCTGACTATGCTTAGTGATCTGCAAACATATTTTTATGCCACAGAAGTTACAAACTCAACAAAATCCTGCAGAGACTAACACCAGGACAAGGGTGAAGTCGCTTGCTCAGACAAATGGGGCAGAGGTCCCGGAAAGCTCAGTGGACCCGCCTGAAACAGAGGGCCCAGGCTAGGAGCTGGAACCCCGGGTGGGGCGGCTTCAGGAAAATGTATCACAGTTCTCTTTTTTTAATTTTTTTTTATTTTATTGTTTTGTGGGTTTGTGTACCGTCAAATCAGATCTGACTGGTACAGGAGGAAATTGTTCCTCCTTCTCCAGCAGAGCATCTGGTGGATTTGAACCATGCACCTCAGGGATTATCACAGTTCTTATGTTTCCATCTGAGGACCCTTCTTTGCTCAAAACAGATGCAAAGTTACATTCTATGTGGGACAAGCTGGTATGGAATCCTTGTCCCTGGAGTCTAGGCAAAGCCTGTTCCAGGTATCAAAGTCTCAGTCCCTTCTACCAGCAGCCTTTGCTGAAGCTCAGTTTCTGTGCTGAATATGGGGTCATCATACCAAGGGTGACGTGTACAAAAAGTTTTCCGTGAACTCAAGGGGCATTTACTTTCTCTATAAGAACCTCGGATGCGTCCTGACACTGTTAAATCACAATCTTCCCTAGGCCGTGCACTCAAGAGGTGGGAGAGACAGCTAACATCCAACAAATGGCACTGCTTTAGTAAGAGAAATTCCCAGAACTGAGGGGCAGAGCGAAGGCTGCTCCTTCAGTGGTAAACCTCAGCTTCTCTGGCACCAAATCACGTCACATATTTGTGCTCCTGACTGTGCCCAAGGCAGCCTTCTGCGGCAGGCTCCTCAGACATGAGCCCCTGAGCCGTAACAACTTCCAAAACCCACGATTTTGAAATGTCAGCAGAGAGACCCTATCTGCATATCATCACGGTCACTCATGAATGCCTGATGGACAAAGAACAAAAACCCCAGGCCCTGGAAACACAGGAGTGCAGAAAGCTGTCCCTTTCTTGTCTGGGTAACAGAGTAAGGAGTGATCAGACACGCAGAGGAAGCCGTCCTGCGGTGGGGTGGTGGGGGCTTCACGTGTGAATACAGAGCGTCGTAAAAAGAAAGAGCGTTTTTGATGAGCTCCAAAACAGAGGAGCCACTTAAGTCAATTCTGTTCACACTTAATGACCAGCAGGACCTGGCCAAGCAGGAGCACTCCCTCTAGATAAGGGTCACACTTAAAAAAATTCAGCATAAGCACTAGACAGTGGCCAGCTATCTCTACTGACTGCTCTGACAGGGTCACAACAGAAAGGGTGGAAACAGGGTAGACTGGACCCCAACTCATAAAAAAGACCAGGCTTGCTGGTTTGATAGAGGCTAGCAGGACCCCCGAGACCTTCAAACTGGAATGGAGTCACCTCTGGAGACCATCATTTAGCAAAACCAACGGCAGGCCTGTAATGTGAATACCACTACCGGGGAGGACGGACAGTCCAGGACAACCACCACAGGACCCCCTCTGCCCCAAAACAAAGCTCGGCAGGCAGGAAGGGGCGGGAGAGAAGGATGTATGGAAACAGAACTAGGGGAGAGGCTGGACAACTGCTGGTCCGTGGAGAGGGACCCCAACCAATGTCAGAAACAAGACGTACAGAACTGTTGACCGTAACTCGAATTGACTCTGTGAATTTCTACAGGTACTAAGTCAAAGAACAAAGAGGCAAACCCCCTCACAAAACCCATGTCCCTCTAAGACTGTGTCCTGACCCCATCCCGGCCCCAACCCGCCAGCAGGGCGGGCACCCCTCTGTACTCACGGTGTTCCGCAGCACGTCATCGTCCACGTCAAAGTTGGACGTGTCGGAAGGGCTGCTGACGTCGGGAATGTACGGAGCTTCCAGGTTCCGTATGTTTTCCCAGTTTAACCCTTCAAAAAACGCATGTTTTTTGAAATCCTCTATCCCGTTCTGGCCCAGACGGCGGTCCCTGCTGCAGATGAGTCTCTGAATGAGGTCTTTGGCCTCCTCGGACACATCCGTGACATGGGACGGGAACTGGAATCGCTCCTGTGGGGAAAAGACAGTGAAGATGAACGAACGTGGCGAAGAAAAAAGTACAAACAGTAAAACCTGTAAGAGCCAGGCTCAATGGGACGGCCTTTCCACAGCTTGACATTTTCTACTTTGACAAAGTGTAGTCTTGTCATTTTTCTACGGCTCTGTCAGGAGAATATAAATATTTGAGTTTTCCTTCTCTGACAGGTTCTAGCTTTCACTAGCTCCTAAGCAAGAGTCATTTTTTTATTTCATGGTAACTAACCGTAAACCAAAACTAACGGGTTTTAACTCAGGAAGGCAAATAGGAGGATTAGTAGGTCTTTGGGCTCACTCCCAGCAGACTTATTATCACACTGTATGTCAACAGAAACAGGAACAAACATCCAAGGGACAGAGGCTGTTGCCAGCGCACACTCGGAGGCCCTGAAACTGGCACAGGCTGACCGAGTGCGTCTCCTCTACATCTGAGTCAGTCTGGGGCCTAGAAATGCTACAGAAATACCAACAGAGAAGATGCAACATGTACATCACGCTGTAATTTAAACAAGGAAAATGCAAATTATTTGTCTTTCAGAGGCTTGATCATACAAGGGGGTGTGTGTATGAGTGAGAGAAAGAAAGAGACAGAGAGAACAGAAAGAATGAAGGTCTGATGGAAAGACTGGAGGTTCAATTCCACCCAGAAGCATCCCGGGAGAAAGGTCTGGAGACCTAGTGAAGAAACTGAGCCACTGAAAACCTGGTGTGCTCGGCCCTGCGCCGGCAGACGTGGGGCAGCTTGGTGAGCTGACTCAATGGCAGGTGGTCAATGGAGCATGACCACCCACACACGCACACACAGGCACGTACGCAGAGCTCAGCCCACAGCTTTCTGTTCCTGTGCCCTCCCATCTCCAGCCCTCACTATTCATCTACAGCAGGGGGTGGTGCTGTGAGCAGGCCGGGAGGGAGCCCCGCGGCGCATGTGCTCTCAGCATTTAGCCCTAACCATCTTCTGACGGTGCTGGTCACTGCGCAGCAGTCCTCACTGACAGGAAACTGACATCTTCCCACCTTGTAGAAAATGGGAAAGCCCAGTGGTGCCTGTGTGTGTGTGTGGGGGGGACGACCGTCCACTATGTCTAGTGCTGTCTCTCCGTCCACGAGCCCCCGACAGGAGAGCAGCTGGAGGACTGGCCGCGGCTGCCGGATACACTCCCGGGACGTGTGTGTGACAGGGTGCGTGTGTAACTGTGCACATGTGCGCACGTGCATGCGGTGGGGGGTGGGGGTGTGCTGAGGACAGAATGTGCTGGAAGCACACTCATGAAGACAAAGAACAGAAGGAGAATGATACACCTGACTGAAGAGAACCCGGAAAAAAGGTGCCAAAGACGGACAGGAGAATGGAGGAGAGGCTGGGCAGGCAACGTGGAGTGAGGGAGAACAGCGCGGGGAGCAGGCATGGGGCACAGAAGCTGCTGAGCGTGGGAGCAGCCTGGGCCAGAGCGGACACCTGACCGTGGTCCTCGTGTCCTCCTGTCCTCTCCCACCAGCCCCTTCACCACAGGGTCTCCTCTTGCAGGGGTCCTAGGCTCAGTGACCACGGTTCTCCCATCAGACACCCACCTTGCTGAGCCTCTCACGCCACATCCATCAAGCCTGCAGCCCGTGCTGACTCTACCCGAGTCTCCTGAACCACTATCTCCCTGTCCTGACGGCCCTTAGCTCTCCCTTGCCCTTCCTCCTCCTGCCCCAGCCCACGCTCCCTGCGCCCAGCCAGCGTCTCACCTCGTGGTTCATGATCTTGCCGTAGGTCTCTACGAGTGACTCGGCGTAGAACGGTGTCTCTCCGTAGAGCATCTCATACATGCAGACCCCCAGGGACCACCAGTCACACTCGGGGCCGTACTTGCCCATGCCGTCCTCCATGGCCTGCAGGATCTCCGGGGAGATGTAGTCGGGTGTGCCCACAGCCACGGAGGACTGGACCTGGGGGAGAACGCTGCGTTTAGGGGTATCTTTAACTCCATTTTTATCGTGCAGCCCAATGTCACTTTGCCTTAAAACAGGGGCACCAGGAAATGAAATGACCAAAGCCTAGAAACAGCCAGTGAGTCTAACTCCAAACCCATTAACTCGTAACTCAGCATGAACACACTCTCTGGCAGTGCTCTCAAGAATGTGGGGTCCTCCTGCACCCAGCATCTCGCAATGTCCTCAGGTGGGAACCTCCGTGGTGGGCAGTCTCCCTGCCTTTTCTTACTGCTCCCAATGTCATGTGGGGACCAGGTGGGTCCAGGTCAGCCCTCCCCCTGGCTCTTGTTGAAAAGTCAATTCTGGGGCTTCCTAGTGGTGTAGATGCTATTGACCCCCAGCCCACCCTGTCACCCCAGCTGGAACTTCTAGAGCAGAAAGAACCCCAGGAACAGCTGGGTGCTCAGGCTTTCCCCAGCTGGGGAAGTGGAGACCAGCTGGGTGCAGTTACAGTGCCTATGGAGGGGCCCAGCTGGGGAAGGCACGTGCAGAGCAGGATGGGGGTGCCTCTGAGGGCTCCACCAACGTTCAGTGAGTGTGAGCTCCCAGGTGGGCCAGCACGCACTGCAGAGTGCAGCAATCTCGCTACAGAAAGCTGCTTGGCAAGGGTCTCCAAGTTCACCAGGAAAGCAGGGGAAGGCACACCATGACCACAGAGGCTATGTGTCTGCAGAGCTGAGGTGTGTCTGGTCCTGGGACTCAGGTACTGAGCACCCAATTCTGCTCAAGTGCTGATAATCAGCTCTCATGAAGCAGGACCCTGCAGGTCAGGGCACACACAGAGCCTGGGGCCGCCCTCCAGGAATCGGAGGGCCAGCAGGATCCTGAGGCAGTGCTAAGCCCAGCCTAGGTTTGGCCCCTCTGGGCAAAGGGTCCAGAGACAGAGCAGCAGCTGGGGCCACAGAGCTCCTGCCCACAGCTGGGCCCAGCAACAGGTGGCCTTGTGGTTCACAGGAAACCCAGAGGCCAGCAGTGATAGAGGACAAATGTCCCACGGGGTGGTAGTGACAGGGAGGTAGGAAAGGCAGGTGAAACACCCAGGTGGGGACAAAGAAGTAACCAAGCGACTACGTCTGAGGTGAAGACCGAGTAGCCAGGGCAGCCAGCTCTGCGGGAGAGTAAACGGCTGGCGGTGCCTCCTTTCAAACCCCGCTGACTGACGCCAGCTCTGCGTGACCTTTAAATCACTGCCTGGAAACCTGCCCATCAGAACAGAAGGAACCGCTACGTCTGGAGAGCACTTCCCCTTGGACTTCACCACAAGGATGGGTTTCAAAGAAGGAAACCCTTCCCAGCAAGGATGAGCACTACCACATCAACAGCTGCCCCAGAAACACGCTGGGGGGCCTGCCGCTGCTGGGGTGCTGGGGTGGGGAGCTGAGGTGGGAGGCCAGTCCTGCAGTGAGGATGTAGCACCCCGCCAACAGCTGCCCGAGGAGCACACTGGGGAGCCTGCCGCTGCTGGGGTGCTGGGGGTGCCGTGGCAGGGCGCTGGTCAAGGAGAGAGGCTGTGAATCTGGCTCTGTCCATGCTCTGCCACGTGACCATTAGCTGACCGTTGTCACAGTAAGTGTTCAGGATCCCTGCTTCACTCTTCCCACAAAATGACAAACCCAACCCAGCCAGGGTGTGCCCACCCAGACAGGGCACTGTGAGGAAGGCTGTCCCCTCCTCACGGGGCTGGAAGGTTCTCAGGTCCTAGGGGCAAGGGCACCTGGAAGTGTGCTGTGGTAGAACGCATACATCGTTCGCAAACAGAAAAAAACACTGAAGATATTTCCAAACTTAAAAACAAAAGCCCCAGACATGAAGTGTCAGCTGTCTAGTAACTGGATGCACTGTTTGCACTGATGTTAATGAGCACGGTTTGTTAATTGGACCTCAAGTTGACATTTTAAGCTCTTTGTTATTGCAAGCACAGCCCAAAACCAAATGGAAAATCTTCAACAAAAATACATACAGTTCCATCATCATTCATCTTCAAACATGATCCAAAGTCGGCCAGGCGAATATGACCATTCACATCCAAAAGGATATTGTCAGGCTTAATGTCTCTGTTAGTAAAATAAACACACAAATTAACCATTTCCGTGCAACACATCAGGTAAGTGGAAGGCTCATCAGTGGTGGAGTGGCCGAGGGAATGCTACCGTCTTGGTGTTACAGCGGCAGCGAGCTGTCCACCCTGTGCCGTCTGCTGCAGCACAGCACCAGCACCACCTGTGAGTGCGTCAGCAACCTTTATCTTCAGGTGGCCTGGGATCTATCACTTCTACGGTCCCGACCCGGCCGACAATACTGCTGTCAACCAGCATCGACAACAGTGAATGCGACAGTGCTATCCTGGACGTCACCAAGCTGGCAAACGAGCTGCAGGATCAGGACATGTACAAGCATATATAACTGTGCAATGCAGGTCTGGGTGGCATAATGTGGAACTATCTATGTGCTAAGTTTTCTAGAGACCTCTGAGACTCAATCTAAAACAAGGTAATGCACTAGGAGGAAGCAAGCCTTGGGCAGAGATTGATGAAGTCAAGAGTTATGTGAAGATCAGAGACGAGACCACTGCAGGGTGACAAACCAGCCTGCCCACAAAGAACAACAACTTACAGATGAGGGTGTGAAGGCTTAAAGCTGAGTCGCCTGCCCACACGTCGAGCAGAAGAGACATAAGCCAGCTTCACTCATGGTCACTTTCTTAACTACCATTCCATACGCTTCTACTACTTGGAGGAAAAAGCAGCTGTTTTAAAAAGCAGGGTAAACACAATCCACCGTTATCAACCATGGACTTTATTACCAGACACTGAGCAGGTGGTGGGAGGAGCCATTAAAGCTGGAAGCAGGAGCAGCATTCACTTCCTCAACAACGTGCCTCTGGAAACTTTATGAACTTTGAGAAATGACGGTAATTATAGAAAGGCTTCAGGTCTTTTCTTCATAAGGGGTGCTACGAGTCAGGCTCAACTTGATGGTTATCATCAACAACAACAATAATAATAACACCAACTCTTTACTGGAAGAATTCACAGAAGTGACAAAGAAGTATGAAAGAGAATACAACTTTAACCAAAGAAGCTGTTCACCAAGAGACATGTACAAATGTGTTCGGAGCAACTCTTGTGTTCTGTGTCATTAAGATGCCTGTGGCTCACAGCAACCCTATGTACAACAGCCCTGACACCTGCTCCCCATAATATTCTAAAATTAAAAGCATTCTAAATATGCACCTTTGGGATGAAAGGTAAATAAACTGGGTTAGAATCATGTGATAAAAAACCATATGACAATTAAAGAAAGAAAACTATCAACTACTTTCAACAACACAGATAAGGCTCACAAATAAATGTGTGCCAAGGATGAAAACTGGGAAAAAAGGTGAGTAAGTAACAGAATACTTACTTCATACTTAAATATCAGTAAGCAAAAAGCCTTTGTGAATAGGAAAACCGAAACTCTAAATGAATCATAGAACAAACACTAAGACCATAAATAGGAAGAAATGAAATTAAAGAGAATTTATTTAACTCGAGAAAAATATAAGAAAAATATAAAACCTAATTAGAAATGAAGACTAAAGCATAAGGTCCCCAAAGAACAAGTTGAAATAAAAATTTAATGAAAAACATTGAGGGCAAGATATCCCTAACAGGATAAACAGGAGTTAAAGAAGTAAAAAGGATTATAGAGAAAAGGTGAAGGGAAATGAGGACAAGACAGGCACACCTAAACATAACTAGAGTCACCAAAGAAAAAAATCAAAGAGACAAAAGTAACATTTAAAATCACAATCCAAGACAGTTTTCCAGGAATTAAAAAAAATAATAAAAATTGAATTTTCACATGGAGAAAATTTTTTTTGAAAATTTTTATTTAAAAAAAGTTTTTCTTCTGGAATAACCCTGAAGGAAAAGATGAATAAAAATATGAATTACAAGAAATTCTGGTGGTCCCTTCTCTCCTCTTCTGGTAGAGAAAAATTTTATAACTATGAATTAAACTACAAATTAAAGATCAATAAATTTGGTTAAAGAATTTTAAAAAGCTGGTGGTAAAAAAAAAACCCCCTGTCATCTGCAAAATAAAAAAAAAACCAAATGCCGAATTGAGAAACATTTCCAACATTTATCACAGATAAAGAGCAAATTTTTTTTTTAATTAAATGGGAAAAAATCCAACTAAATATCCTCTAGACAAACAGATAATATAGAAAAAAAAATTAACTGGACAGAACACACACACACACACACACACACACACACACACACACGTGCGCGCGCGCGCAAAAATTCTCAAGTTTGAAAATACAGTCTGCCGGGGAGGCTACATAGCAAAAAGGCACTTCTGGTGGGAAAGAATGAAAAAAGGTTCAGTCCAGACAGGAGAATCTGACAACATCTAATCAAACTATCAACCAAACCACACCCACTGTGGCTGAGTCCATTTCACTCAAAGGCCCCAAGAGGACATAACAGAACTGCCCCACAGGCTTTTGGAAACTTTTATAGACTCCCACACCTTTTCCCCCACAGAGTGGCAGGTAGGTTCAAACCACCAACCTTCACATAAGCAACTGGGCACTCTAAGCACTAGGGATCCATGTATAGAACCATTTATGGCTTTCCTTTTGATCTAGCTGTCTCATGTCTAAGGATTATCCTGAAGATGTATCAGTTTAAAAAAAATACATATACATCAAGTTATTCATTACTGTATTATCACTACAAAGCATCTACCTAAATAGCCACTTATTAAGAGACTGGGTGAACAGAGTATTTACATAAAACAAGGATGAAGAGGGTGAAAAAGGTGTAAACAAGGATAAAGCAATAAGGAATAACCCCTAGGAAATGTTATTAAGTGAAAAACTGCAAAAGGGTATATTTAGTATGTTACCTTTTACTTAAGAAATGAGAAATAAGACAGCTTATTTGCTTACCTCTCAAATCTGTGCCCATGCACGCACACACATGCACACAGACAGAGGATAAACCAGAAAAGACAGAGGATAAAACCTAGAAAAGATGGGGAAATGAGGTGGGAGGGATACGGAAAGGAGTGACCCTTAGGAGTATAAATACAGAAAGTTATTATTTTTTTGAAGCATGTTAAGGACTGTACATTAAACAAGAATTAAGTCAACCAAAAAGGTAACAACCCAAAATCCTACAGTCATCAAGTGAATGTGGACTCCTAGGAACCATACAGGACAGAGCAGAACTGCCCGCTGGGGTTTCCAAAGAGGAAAACTTTACTGGTTTTCTCTTACAAAGTGGCTGGTAGCTTCCAAATACTGACCATATGAGGAACAGGCTACTGAATGCTTTAATCACAGTGCCACCAGAGCTCCTTAAAGATGGTAACAAGGAGCCTAAAATGGAGACTTGATTGATAGGAACGAATCCAACCATATATCAAGTGAACAACATAACAAGTGTGGATGGAAGGGTGGGGGGAAAACTCAAGTCCAAGTAACCTGTGAACACAGAGCGTGTGTGGATGCAGGACTCGGGGGAGCTGGGGGAGGTGCAGATCCTAAGGTCTAGTACTGCAGTGAGCCTGTCTGCTGCTGCTGTGCTGTTGTGTGCCGCTGAGTAGGAAGGACTCACAGCTGACCCTCCGGCAGGTGTTCAGAGGCAGTAAAACTGCACAGAAGGAGACTGCCCATTCTCCTCTTCTGGAGCAGGTGGAGGATCCGAACTAAGTGTGTTTGGGATTGCAGCACAGCTTCTTACCACTAGGCCACCACAGCTCCCTGTACTACTGTAGGCCAAGCAACTGTAAGACTATTGTGTATGTATTATGGGGTTAAGCAAATACATCAATGTGTGAGTGACGTTAGGAGTTGGAGGTTTCATTGTAGAAAAAGGGAGATATACTGACTGAGTTAATTCTGACTCCTCGTAGCTCTCCATGACAGAGAATAATGTCCCATAGGCTGGGCGGGAAACGTTACAAAAGCTGACTGACTGCCCCATCTTTCCTCCAGCTGCTACTGCTGCTGTTGTTGTTAAGTGCCGTCGAGTCGCAGGCGACTCATAGCGACCCTATGAAGGAGAGTCCTCAATGCCTGGGTGTCTCTCATCCTCTCTCCAGGTTCATAGGGTTTCCGGAGGCAAGCTATTACGGAAGTGGATGCCACTCCTCCTTCCAAGCTTGTTTTAATCGGGGAGCTCCACACCACTCTCTGTCCGGGGGTTCAAATCTCCAGTCTTCAGAGTAACAGTTACGTGCAAGCGGACGGCACACCAGAGAGCATGTATACTCATTAAATGTCTACGTAGGTGCCTGGATTTACTGTCCACTGAAGGGGCCTAGAAGCAGACTGCTACCCACTGCTCCGAAAAACCAGTTCCCACCAAAATAACAGGGCTCCCCAGAGAATGACTAGTTCCAGGGTTGGGGCAGGGAGTGTTACAAGATGAGCCCGTAAAAAAGGGAGTTCTCAAAAAATGATGAGGGTATATCACAAGAAAGTGGTCATAGGGAAGGTCAAAAACGGGACAAGTAGAGTACAAAACTAAAAACCAGTGACAGATTATAAGTCATTGGAGAAACAAGAATCTATGAAAAACAAAACCAAAACACAAACACTGCCAGGAGTGTTTTTTGACTCAGCAATCCTACAGGGCAGAGCTGACTCGGCCCGTGGGATCTCAAGGTTGAGTAATCTTTACAGAAGCTGCAGCCAATCTTCCCACCAGCGTCCTGACGTAGGCATTATTCTTCCCCGCCTGCAGAAGAGGGCGCTCTGGGGCCACAGTCTGCAGGTATCTGCACTGCTAACTCCAAGGCCGCCGCACTGCTCCTCGGGAGATGTGGAGAAAGATGGACTTTCTGTGCGGTTTACAGCCCGGAAGGGTCAGCAGTCAATCAGTTCTGACTCAACAGCAAATGACCGACCAACTGGTTGTTATTGCAGAAAAGAATACTAATGAAAATCTCTGCTGATTATCTTATTTTCACAAATAAAAATCTTTTCTCTAGATCTTGGTCAAAAGTTTTCAGTCTTGTGAAGGCTGAAGTTGAGGACAAATCTCTTCTGGTCCTA